AATCATTCTTGTTAATGAACGATAAAGTTTTATTCTTTGTTGTTCATATTCTTGATACAATTTTGATTTTTCTTCATGTATTCGTTCATAATGTATTTTATCTTGTTCAGTTTGTATAACCTTAGATAATAATATTTATATTTAATAATGTTCTTTTTTTTTGATAGAAATTTTCATATTTTACTTTCATAGTTATATGATTAACATATTCTTGCCATGTTGTATTATCGGATTTTGATAATTTATTTTCAGCAAGAATTAAATTTTCTTTTGCTGTATGATATAATTCAACAGAATTTTGATATTCTTGTGCAGCTTTTCGAGTTTCTAATCGTGCCTAAAAAATAATCTTATTTATTTTTTTAATTAAAATTAAACAAATCAAATATTTTTAGTCAGTTGATTAAATAAGTACTAAATCAGTAAATTATTGAAATGATCAGTTAGTAATAAATCAAATTTGTTAATAGAGTTAAAGATTAAGAAATTAAATTTTCCTAACAATCAATTACATTAATGGGTAAGAGTGTAGAAATTAAAATACATTGTAATATGATTCATATGGTTTTTTTCTTCTTTTGTTTGTATCACGTAGTACAGATGTTATGCACAACATATATGTAGACACTCTTTGTTTCTATTCTTTTCTTCAATTTTAGCTTAGAGTCTATGAATAAAAACAACATAGACCTAGTACAAATTACTCAATATGAAAGTGATGTAAGAGAAATAAATGAAAAAAAAAGAAATTAAAATATTGAGTTGACGAAACTATATTTGATAATGTTAATGAAGCAGAAACATCGATTGAAAATCAATGAAAGAACAGTTGATTAAAGATGCAGCAAAGCCAAGCTTCATGAACCTTAAAATTGAGCAAGTGTTTACCTACTATAACATGCAGATAGTGAAAAAAAGTTACTGTTGATAAAACCTGAAGTTGATCATGATAATTATAAGATTGCAAATATTTCTCAATCGATTAAAAAGATTAGCAGAAAATCGTAGTGTTTGGTTGACTTTAATGCTGTGTAAAAAATTGCTTATAGAACGTATGCAATAAGAGACTTTATTGCTGAGAAGGAAGTCTATTATGCAAGTGCTGATCCAAAGTAATTCAAAAAATGATGCCGTCAAGGAAAAGAAGTTACGAGAAAACTCACTGAACAACAGCATGATATTAATTTCCCATAGAATACGGTCGCATAAAGTTTTCTTCCGATCCGAACTCGACGAAGTCTCAGAGGTTCGTAGGAGACTGAGCTTTCCAGCCTAAAATCCTGGCTTCACTAAATGCATCCAATCTGTATACTAATGATTTAAATTACAGGCAAAATCTTCTAACCTCTTCAGCTTGTTTACAAGCATCATAATATGGTCGTGCACGTTCAACACAACGACCAAGTGTTTTTGCTAGATTAGTTAAATGTTGTTTACAATTAGTAAAACTTATTTGAAATAATTTTTGAGCATCCTAAAAAAACAAACATTTTTATTTTAATTTTATTATTAAAGAGAGAGGAAAAAGAGCAATTCTTACATCTAATTGAGTTTCAAGATTATTTATTTCACTTGTTGCAGCATTTGCACGTTCTAATTCAATCTTAAAAAGAAAAAAAAAACAGATTATACAATATATTTAATTTTGATTTATTCGAAAATGTTTTTTTTTTGTTAATACTTGTATTCGAGGATCAAGTGGTTCATCATTGATTTGATTCGAATGATTATCATTAGGTTCGATTATTTTAGGTATATCCGACATACATGAGAATTGAAAAAATGCAAAGAAATACTATTTCTTAGGAATTCAACATAACTATATAAATATATCTAAAAGACATTAAACACATGGATGTATATCATAATAGGGAAGTATTTTCATTTAAAAAAAAGAGAAACAATCTATACTAGAGAGAGAAAAAAAATGAAGCTGAGTTTTATTTAAACAATAGGCCATTTCCATTGATTAGGTGGTGCTTGACTAGCAAGCGGTCCCCAAACATGATTTAAAGCCATTCGACGTGCGCACATAAGTTCATTTTCAGCCTAACAAAAATTTAAAAAAAAGATTATTTGTTTTTGCTTATGTTAATTTTATATTATTTAAAAATAATTACTTGTACAATGACTTCTTCAATTTGACCACAATTAATTTTACGTTCGAGACGAGCAATATTTGGTTCCTAAAATTAAATTTTAATAAATAATATTTTCTTTTTCACGTTAAATTTACATTTTCGACATGTTCAAGACGTGAATTAATTATATCTTCAGTATACTTTCTATATGCTGATGTTTCAGGTATATTTTTAAGATCACGTAAAATTTTTCCATAAAGAAGTTTTAATGCCTATGAAAATAGAGAGAGAAAGAATTTACTTATGATAATTATAAATTATAAATTTACATACATAATGTGGATCTTTGCATACAGCTAATCCAGTTATATTTGTTGTCTATAGATAAAAGAAGAAAATTTCTATTAAATAAAATGGATTTATATTGAATTAATATACCGCTTTTAATATTTTAGATGCCATGAAAAAATAAAAATTAATCTAAAATTTATTTTCATTGAATTAATATAATCAAAAAAGTTTTAAATGTCAAATAATAATAAAGAATCGCTTTTAATGATTCATTGAAATTTAGATAGAGATGATTAACAATGTGATCTAATGATGAGTATGAGGAGGAGATTATCGAAGAAAAACTTATCCTTTTTTTTTTTTTTTATAAATGTTACATATACGAATGATATTTAAACGATTAGATATTAAGTTCATAAATATATTTGATTTACTGTAGTATTAACTTCAAGTTTTACAAGAAATATTCAGTCTATAATAATTTGCGACAAATAAGATGATATATATCAAATAGATGACGCTACTTATTTTATTTTTTTTTATAAAATTTTTCATATTTTATTTGAAGTAAATTAATAAATATGAAGAAATTTTATAATTTTATTAAACAAAATTTAATTTTCATGATAAAATGCTAACAGATGGCGTTGTATAACTATCATTAATAATCATACAAAAAGGTGGTTACTATGAAGAACATTTGCTCTATGTATATAATGTAAATGTAATTAATAGTGTGAATTGTTAAAAAATATTTTCTATAATGTTATATTTAAATTTGAGCATTGTTAAGAATAAGAACAAAATAATATCATTGACGTATACAATAAGTAAATTATTTTTGTCAGAAACAAACTGTGCAAATATTGAATCATTTTATGTGTTAGAATAGAAATTGATTCTGTGTATCGATGATTATGAAGATATATCATTCTTGCGATCTTATTTAACTGAATATTTCAGTTTTGATAGCATCAATTAGAACTTTTGACAACAACAAATTTTAAGATCGGCATTTGTTTAGCAAATGTTTCATTGTTTGGTACGGTGTGATATTAAAGTTGATACTACTCATTATAAAAAAAACATATTCCGTCTTCTGATATTATATAATGTAAGAAGATGGAATACTTTTCGATAGTGAGGAATCCCAATTTTAAGATTTCTACATATTCACTGTAGAGTACCTATTAAACGAATATCTTACTAAAATTGAAAAATCTGATTACCTTGTATCAGTTAACTTTATTCAAATATATACTTATGGTAAAAGATGAGTATACTCTCAAATATCCAAATCATCACGAAATTCTGCTCGTATAATATTCACTTTCAATTGGACTCATAAACATAATTTCACATACATACACCAACAACCAATAAGAACTCAATGAAAAAAGAAAAAAGATCAATATATGTTTTTCATTTATATATAGACTTCCAAATTGTTGAAACAATTGACATAAATATTAACATCTTTATTAAAAAGCTTTGAGCAGAAAATTATTTAACGGTAACATCGAAAACCTACAAGAAAAAAACATGTCGAATGGTATTATTTTTCAATTAGCTTTCTATTCTAACAAAAAAAGTACACCATACAAAAAAAAATTGATTGAAAAAGAATCTCTTTGATTCTGTAAAATACAGAGTGCAGATTATTAACATAATAAAGAGAGTAATTATCTTGATTGTTTCAGGATTTGATTTGTTTACACAGTCTATCTATGTTTTGACATTTTTCTACTTATATATTATACATAACAGACATTTGAGAAAGAAACAAAAATCATGCTTTCTTTTCATTTTAGTATTAGAAAAATTTTCAAAGACAAACATATTTAAAGTTAAGATAGATCATTCTAAATTAAGAATAATCTTCTTACATTAAATGAAAATTAACTACTATTTTTATCCGATAGAGATTTATATGTCAGATTTTTATTCTGTATGATTAAAATCAATCATGAATTGCAATTTCATACTGAGCATCAAACGTATTCATAAACGTTGATTGAATAGAGAAATCTTTGAGCTTTTCAAGGAAATAGTTTGTTTGAAAACAAAAAACTATAATTACACCTAGTGTCATTAGCTAAGATTCAGAAAAGATATGTTAGATTAAGTTTGAAACTCGATATAGTATTTTTACGATAGTTTTTCATCATCAATTCCTATTGTATTACTGCTTCTTTTTCCAAGCCATGTTCGTTATTATAGAGTTAGAAGGGTTTTTTTTATATGATTGATAATTACAAAAAAAAGCCTTTTGGTCATGATGTAAACCAATTATTTATTGTTTATACAAGTCTTACAAAAATCCAAACAAACTCTAGTTCATTATGGTTATTATAATCTGATTGTACATAGAGGGAATAAAGACTGTGTAAATAATGTATAAGTTCATTGATTTCTTTTTTCTGAAATATTGGTGAATTTCAGCAATATTCATAGACAATATTTTGTACTTCAATGCTTCATTATAGTATTGTTGTGTAAAGTCTAACAAGATCATTTGATCTTTCTTAGAAAATTATAGATTGATGTAAACGTTTAGCAAATTTCAGGAAAAGTTTCACACATTTTACAGTGCCTCGCAAAAATCTCAATGCAACGATGGCAGGCAAAATAGTTCGAAACATGATTTTTGCTAATCGATTAATCCCCAAATGACAATAAAAAACTAAAAATATACATTTATATACATGAAGTTTAAAAAAAACTTTTAGTATTTGCAACTGCATTCATTGATTCCTCTGCAAGAACGTCTGTAAATGACATCAAGGTGGTATAAGATGTCAACAAACAGTTAAATAATTAATATGTAAGCATTGGGATAGAATTTAAATGGATGAAGTTTTCATAGCAACGACTATATCGTATAATTGAATTTTTTTGACAAATAATTAATACAACAAGTAAATCTGTTTTACAGTAGTACCATTGATGAGTTTTTCTGTTATCAATTTTAAAGAATGGAGAATGATGATATGTCATTATTGATCTACTTTCGTATTTTTAAAATATATTAAACATTATTAAATTGATATATGATTGTATAATGTAAGAAAATATCGTGCTGAAATACATCAGATAAATTTTCTGCAAGAAGAAATATTTTCCGAGTCAATAGTTTAATTTTCTCTAAAACGCTTTATTCACAGGTCAAAAATCTGTATATGTTAAATATAATTATCTTATTATCTATTTCTAGTAGAATACAACTCAATTACATATTCTTTATGCATATAGATATAAGAATATATGTTTATAATTGAATAGATTTTAATATATCCCATGTGTATCTAAACAATTTGAATCAAAAGATGATTAAATAGAAGATTATTATTTTTTGAAAAATTTCAATAGCATCATTTATCTTTCTAGTAACATTAAAAAAAAAAAAACAAACTGAAATTCATTATTATCATCAACACAATCATTCTTATTTTCTTTTTAGTAAGAATTCTATCTTCAAAAAGAGAAATCTGTTTTTAATAAAAAAAAATATTCGCTTGTGATAATAGTGCCCTCTATTAATTTATTGATATTTTTTGGAAAATATTTTATGAATCTATTTTTATTCAAAGAATAAAACGAAATTTTTCAAAATAAATTTTTAAATATAATTAAATGAAAAATATAATTGAATTTAATGGACGTTTCTAAGTATCTGAAACTCACAATGGTTAATATGCATACATTGATTTTGTATACGACGAAATTAAAAAAATAAAAACCTGCTTTCACGTATACTAGATGTCGTCAGCAAAAGTTAAAGGTGGTCGATCATCGGCTCAAAATGTTGATTCATCAGGTATTCGAAAAATTCATAGTCGTCATACATGGGTAAAAATCTCTTCGTTTTTTTAATTTTAATTTTAATATTTGATTTTTTTCTTTTTTTGTTTTTCAAATGAAATCTATAGAAATTAGAAAGTATAAGTCATGGTAAAGGACAACCAGTATCACGAAAAGCTGTTCAACATGTTATAGATGAAGTAGGAAAACGAAAGGAAAAATTTCATTGTAAATATCTAATATTAGTTTTTTTTTGTTTGATGATATTTAAAAAAAATAACAAGAATTCTGGAAATTTTTTTAGTTTCAAAACAAGAAATTGAATCACTTTGTACAATATTTCGTCATTTGACTAAAAGTGGTGATAAAGGTAACAATATACAAAAAAAAAAAACTAAACTTTTTTTCTTCGATGAATTTTTGTTAATTTTTTAGAAAAAATTGATCGAAATCGTTTTCGTGATATTCTACATAATACATTTGATATGACTGATGATATTTTAATGGATAGAGGTAAAAAAAATTAAAATTAAAAAAAGTTTAATTTTTTGGTTCAGTTTTCAAAGCATTTGATCGTGATAATGATGGACAAGTAAGCATGCTTGAATGGGTTGTTGGACTTAATACATATTTACGTGGAACATTAGATGAAAAAATTGCTTGTAAGTTATTTATTAAAAAATCAAAAATTGTTTTTTTTTCTTTTTGTATTTTAATATTTTCAGTTGCTTTTACTTGTTATTCACTTAAAGGTGAAAAACATATAACCCGTGAAGAAATTTTTCAATTACTCAAAAGTAGTGTTCTTAAAGTATGTAAATTTTCTTTTTTGATATTATTGATGAAATAATAAATATATATTTTTTTTTCTCTAGCAAGCTGGTGATGAAGATCCAGATGAAAGTATTAAAGAATTAGTTGAAATAACATTAAAAAAAATGGATAAAGATCATGATAATCGTTTGGGTGATAATGATTTTTCACAATCTGTTCGTGAAGATCCTCTTCTACTTTCATGTTTTGGTCAAGTATTTGCTAATGCAAGAGTAAATATTCGATTGAATATAATTTATTTTTTTATTTTTTTCATTACATAATTTTCTTCAGATAGTCGAAGCATTTTTACATTTTTTTTCTGAAAATACTCATGTTAGATCACATCGTTATTAGAAAGAGCAGAAGAAAAACAAATTAGTTTTGCATAATCACACTTTAAAATAGATCTGCATGATGCATGACAAAAAAAAAATTCTTTTTTTTTTGTATTCTTATAATTATATAAGTCATCTTGTAATATACATTTAGAGAAAAGCTGATTTTGAACGAATACTTGAACATATGTCTGAACAAGTTGTATTCGGTCAAACATTTACACAACAACAATTAGCAGCCATGTTCGATTATTAATCTTATATCTCAACTGATTCTTTTTCTTTTTCTTTTTTTTTTTATATTCTTTTTTTTTCTTTTCTTTTTTAATATTATCTTATCCGTTTCTATTATATTTCAAATAAATTCGACCTATTGAACGTGTGTATCAAATAACAAGACATTAGTTTTTACTTTAATTACAGACTTCAAACGGATTCATATATACATCAATGAATGAGGGTGCTATGATTGATTAAGGCTACTCTAAAAAATCGATCTTGAACCAGGTATATTCAAATTACATGAAATTTTTTAAGATATGTTGCGACCCGTACTGAAGAGACTATGATAGAATTTTCAGCGCTATATTATGATGCTTTTAGAAAATATTCAAACAGAATAAGGATAAAAAATAGCTCATTTGGCAACTGAAAATTCTCTGTGAATCTTCATTCTATATATTTAATTTTTTTTGTTTGTTTGAAAGAGCATGTCAGGATGTTGTGAAGAGGAGATAAGTCCAATGTCTCGAGAAGCTCTCAAAAAAAGAATTGCGTTCTAATTAAAAAAGTATACTTCTATATAATACTAACAAAGTTAATCCAACAAGGAGTATTTGTCATGTTTTTTTGAAACAAAAAAATACCATTGACTATAATGAAGTTCCTTTGAGAATTCTGGGATGCATGATCAAAAAAGAACATATTTTTCAAGTAGAAAATGATGAAAGTTTTGGAAAAATAAGGCGCTAAATAACAAAACCATGTCATCTATGAAAGATCAAACTGCGGACTATTTTCCCATGTATTTATCTCAATTATCATGTCTTTCATCAGGATTGACTTTTTTGGAGGAGAGGAGGTTGGTCTTATGAATAAATATCATGTTATGAAAATGGTATTTTACGTTCGTCTAGCAATAATAATTTGTATTTTCTCAGATCGCTATTTCTTTGAAATATCATACAAGGAAATGATTGCTCATTGAGTTTAACCAATAGAAATGAATAATACTTATATACACCACACCATATATTGATCATAGTGGCCTTGCTATAATAATCATTACATAACAGCTGCGATTTGATATGTATACTACTAGTTCTATGACTATTTTTATTTTACATGACTGATCTGATGATCTTGTTTTGAATGTTTTAATTTAATTCTAATTTCAAAATGATCTATAAAAATTATAGTATGTATATATTTTATTTTAATATTAAATTAAAACAAAAAAATTCTAATTGTAATTAATTTAGATGATATTTTATCTATTTTAATCATTTTTACTTTTATAAAGTAAGAAATTTTATTGACCTTTATTCTTTTTTGTTCTTGTAATTAATAAATTCTTATTTTTCTTTTTTAAATTGATTTAGTATTGTTCAAATTATTAATGGTCACGAAGATAAAATTTTAGCTTTAGAAAAACGAATACAAGATTTAGAAGCTCGGTAAATAATCGATTGATTAAAAAAAATAAAAAAGAAGTATCAACATGTTAAAATTTTTATCTATTCTTAGACAACAACAATATCCTGAAGTAACATTCCTAACATATAAAGATCGTAAACGTATTCTTGTAAGTATGAATTTGTTTTTTTATTTATGTAAAAACTTTTTATATAATTTTTTCTTAGATTACCGGTGGAGCTGGGTATGCATAAATATTTATTTCAATAGTTGAATATTTCTTTTTAAAAATAGATTTGTTGGTTCACATCTTGTTGATCGTTTAATGCTTCAAGGACATGAAGTAATTGTAGCTGATAATTTTTTTACTGGTCGTAAACGTAATATTGAACATTGGATTGGTCATGAAAATTTTGAATTAATTAATCATGATATTGTTAATCCACTTTTTATTGAAGGTAAACTAAAATAAAATGAAAAAAATCTTTTAAAAAGCTTCTTCATTTTATTTTTGTCTCTTAGTTGATCAAATTTATCATTTGGCATCACCTGCTTCACCACCACATTATATGTATAATCCTGTTAAAACAATTAAAGTTAATTCGATTGGTACTATTAATATGTTAGGTAAATAGAACAAAATTAGATTTGTTTTTGTTTTGTTTTTGAAGATTAATGATAATTCTTTTTTTTTCTGCGATAAAAGGTTTAGCACGTCGTGTTCGTGCTCGATTATTATTTGCTTCAACAAGTGAAGTCTATGGTGATCCTGAAGTTCATCCACAAAAAGAAACATATTTTGGTAATGTTAATCCATTTGGACCAAGATCTTGTTATGATGAATCAAAACGAGTTGCTGAAGCTATGTGTTATGCATATGCTAAACAGGTTAAGTTATATATTTAAAATCAATCAAAACAAAAAGAAATAAATATTATTTAGGTTTTTTTTTTAGGAAGGAATTAGTATTCGTATAGCTCGAATATTTAATACATATGGTCCACGAATGCATATGAATGATGGACGTGTTGTTAGTAATTTTATTTTACAAGCACTTCAAAATGAACCAATAACAGTTAAAAATTATTTATTTTGATGAATTTTAAAAAGAATATCTTTTGTATTTTGTTTTACTTTTTTATAGATTTATGGTAATGGTAAACAAACACGTTCATTTCAATATGTTAGTGATCTTGTTGATGGTCTTATTGCTCTAATGAATAGTAATTATTCAATGCCAATGAATATAGGTAACCCAGATGAATATACAATTGAACAATTTGCTTTTAAAATAAGAGATCTTGTTGGTAAGTTAAAATTTTAATGTTTTCAAAAAAGAAAACAAAGAAATTTTTTTTTTGTGTGTGTGGTTTTAGGATCACAAGCAAAAGTAATTTATAGAGATCCTGTTATTGATGATCCTAAACAACGACGACCGGATATAACATTAGCAAAATCTTGGCTTAATTGGGAACCAAAAGTAAAGATGATTATAAGATTTTAACCAAAAAATGAGATATATATGTAGATTTGTAAAGAAAGATTTCTTCTATCCAATGATGTACATATATTATTAAATTCTGTCGTGTACCATCGGAGAAAATTAAATTGAAAAACCTATAGATTTCACTCGTTTCAAGAAGGTTCTCTTATATCAGATTCTAAATCATGTAGAATCAAGTGCAGAACATAATCGAATGATGTGTATAGCGTTCAGGAGCTTACACTGTCTACTTGTATAATCTATGTTATATTTGTTCATTTGTAAGACTATATTCATTAAAATTTATTAATACTTTACTGAGACATGATAATGTAAAACTGCGCATTTATTGTATAGTTGTTGTGTGTTAGAGCTGTTTTCTTTTTTGATTGCCACTTTTTGAAGAAATTGTACAAAAAATCGGATGATCACACATAGAAAGTTTTGCAAATAATAAAGATTTCGGAAAAGAAAAGAATCTCAAAAGTTAACCGATACAGTCAATGAATACTAATACTAAATAATTTTCGAGTCTTTTTTTAAAGAGTAGATTGGTTTTTTTTTTATTAGCATCTTTATTAATAATATTATTTCCTGATTCCTCTTCATTTGTAAATAATTCATTTGTTGATTTGTCATTGATTATTTCAGAAAGCTAAAAAGTATCTCTACAAGTCTGTGTATTTGAAATATATTTTAGATTATCAAACATAGAACTATAAATACTATTTTAAGTATCATGCAGTATATATCACAAGAAAAATTGCAACAAGAAATTTCAATTCGAAATCCTTCCTGACAAGAAATTTCATAATCCTTATGATATCCTGAAAGTTTCAGCTCAAACAGATGATTTCTTCTTAAGATATTGTATGCCTAAAAACGAAACTATTTTTGAAACTCTTATGTGAAAGCAATGGTTTTTGAAAATGTGTTATCTCAGAAGGGAAACATTCAGGTTATCATAAAAATCATTCGAGCAATCGTTAGAGAGAATTCCGGAGCAAAATTCCTTGTTGCGATTTTTCTCATGATATTCTGAAATAGACTGAAAGTTAAGTAAAATGATCATTACTTGAAAAAGAAAGGTCTAATGGCACGAATCCTTTCAGAAGTTTTATCGACACTATGAGTTCTGAATATGAGCTCAAACAGAGATGATCAATTGGATAGATTATCTTGTGAGAAAAATTTTCGACATGGTTTACATTTTGATATAGAAGGACCTTCTTAAATATATGTGAATCCATAATATTTTCAATTCAACTTTCTCTTACGATACACAACCGGGTTTGATAATATACACCGTTAGATAGAGGAAGTCTTCTCATCTACCAATCTACACAATATTCGGTTTCTCTCTTTAAAATCTTACAATTGCCTATCTGTTGAAATAGAGATCAAAATATTTTTAATTTTTAATTTTTAGGTTTTACTTAATGATGGTCTTAATAAAACGATAGCATATTTTCGTAATGAACTTCTTGTTAAACAGCATAGTGAACGTAATGTTTTCTTTCCCAATGAATGGTTACATTCATCGAATGTAAATACAATGAAAACAACAAAAAACATTGAACTTTGATTTTATTTTGATTTTTTTTTTTTTGTGCTTTCATTACTGTGATTATAGATTTGCACTTAAATAACAATATATATGAAATATTTTTTGCAATTAATCAAAAAAAAGAAAAAAAAATATATATAAAAACAATCTTTTTTTCATTTACCATGGTTTAATTATATTTATTTTAGCTCTATGAAAATAATGGCAACACCAGTAAATATTATTGTTCAATATATTTTATTAAGACGTGATCTTAAAAAAATGAAAAATTATAATGATGGTGCTATTATTACTCAAGCATGTCATGCATCAAGTGCTATTTTATTTAAAACAATAAATGATGATTTAACAAAATTATATTTAAGTGATTTAGAACGCATGCATAAAGTTGTTTTAGGTATTGATGGAAATGAAAATGATATAAATGAATTAAGTAATTTACTTAAACAAAATTCTATTGAACATTATTTATGGATCGAACAACCAGAAAATATTCCAACAGCTATTGCTGTTAAACCTTATTATAAAAAAGATATTGAACATTTTTTTTCAAAATATAAATTATATCGATAAAATTTGACTAATGAACATGACACAAAAATATTTATTGAATGAAACATATCAACAATATAAGTTTCTTTTTATGTGATTTATTCAATGTTTTCAGATAACTTCTATATATTTCTGTATATTACTGATTATTATCGAAGACTTCTCATGGAAATCATTAAACAATTGATTATTTGAATTTCATATGAGAAAATATATTCAATCGAATGAACCTATCTAACATATTTATGATTTTATGAATTGCATTAAAGTTTCTAAATATGTGATATAGCATCGTTTTATTACTGTCTAGATTTAGCACATATAATGATGAAAATTCATAATGTATATTGTATTAGAATTAATTTCAATTTAATAAAAAAATTGAGAAATTTTATTAAAGGCTTAAAACAAAACAAAAACAGTTTTAATTGGTTTTGGATAAACCCCTGGTTAATATGAAATCGATGTATATTTCATCCCTCAAATATACAACATAAGAAAATGAGTAAATGTTCAAATTACACAAAAAATGAAAATAAAATTTAAAAAAAAAATAATGATAACCTAATATATCTCCGTACGCTTAGGTATATACAATCAACTACTATCGATCGATCAAGTGTTGATAATCGATTACGCAGCTGTATCAATGAAGCTATTCAACCATGTATAAATATCATTATTATTCAAACTTGAATAAAAACTATTTTTGTTTTTTTTTTTCGTTTGAAGATATCATAGAAAATTTCATACGTGCTTTTCTTTTCATCGCGGTTTGAATATTCGATAATGCGTGATATTAATAACAAGTTTATATGAAATTTTGCACCTAAACTCAATAATTATGTAATATTTGACAATAAAACTTCTATCGATTAAATAAAATAATTGATGATTTCTATTTTATCTTCGTTTACTATATCGATATTGTCCGATATAGATAATTTATCAATAAGTATTACGATTATTCTTGCAATGAAATAACCAACAAAAAAAAACGGTTAGTATCAAATAACATTTTACTTGATATAAATTTGAATAAATTTTTTTCTATTTAGCATTAGTTCTGTTATCGATTGATCTATCAATGATTATTCTTCTTATATGAGCTTTGATTTCTGTCCATCTTTTAGTTTTACCATTGATATCTGCTATTTATGAATATCAAATACATCTTTTGGCAATAAAATTGGTGATAAGCATGATATAAATTCTTTATCTAATTATAACAAACAAAATTCAAAAACACTGTTGATGATGATTTATTATCAAATTCATATGAACAACAAAATATAATGAATCATTTCAAGGAACGTTTACAATAACAATATGATTGTGTGATAGATCGAATTCTATCATCATTAAGAATGATACCTAAAAAAAACAACAAATTCTTACATCAATATTATCTTCAGCTAGTGATACTTCTTCTATTGATGTAATTGTAACTGAACCAAAAGACCGAACTAATGAACTACAAAATTGATAAGATGATGACAATGGTTGCATATCTGTCAATAGATTGTTTTATAAAATACATTTACAATAACTGTAATAATCATAGATTTTATATTTGAAAATTTTTTTGTGTATAGATTTATATTTCTATTCAATGAATATCAAAATAGAAGGTTATTGATCGTCTCGCATTTTCTTTTTGTTTCATACTGTTAAACGATACGTACGTAATAACTGTTTCATGGACATGTCCTCGTTCCTATTTCTTATGTTCTCTTATATTGGAGAAGGAGTAGTGGGAAATCAATAAGTACATAATGATTTATGACTATACATGATAAAGATTATATATATACTACATGCGCCTCCCTATGTAGAATAATTACCAAGAATAGACAGAATGACGATTGATCGAAGAAGAGAAAAAAAAAAAAGAAGATTACAAATCGCTCGGCGGCGTTAAATGTTGACATTTGGTCTGTGTAAATTGTGATGAGACTGTTCGTACTGTTGTATTGTCAAGATCATAATTTATCACCTAAATAACTTGATTACGACAAGAAATATGCAAATAAATAGACTACCAATGCCAATATGTACACGAACGACAGAGAATAAGAAGTAAAAAGAATAATAAAATAAATAAATAAATAATGTAGAATTATATAACTAACAATATTCAGAAAATGAACTCTTTCTTTTACTATTTTTATATGTTACATCGTTGAATAAACATTTGAATTTTTTGTTCATTCATATGCATTCAAATAAATCTTACTTGATAGAATCAATTAGTACATTTCGTATAGTCGAAAATGATTTTCATTTTTTTTCTGATTGAAATGATAAATGCAAAAGTAACAGTTGTTATAAGTCTTCGTTTTCTTTCTTTTTTTTTTTTGTTTTTTTTATACATCATTGAATATCATAAAGAATGAAATTTAAGTATTTTATGAGTAATTGAACATAGGTCAAATTTTTATCATTATCCAACAAACGACAACTGATCTTCTTACATCGACATTTGTTCGAATAGAAACAGAAACTATGTAATAATACATAATTCTCTTTTGGCATATTATGTCGAATATAATGTAATAGATAGAGTATGAAAAAAAAAAATAAAAAAAAGAACATTTGTGTCGTATTTCCTCGTTTTCATCTTGTTTTACCTGTCCCATATGTATTTGCTTTGAGTATTCTCTAATCATCGACTCTTTTTCTTTTTCTCTTTCTTTTCTTCTATTCTAGATATCAACGTTTGATATTCTGTCGTTCATTCGATGAAGGGTCAATGGCATCTGTTCTCTCATAAATCATCAGAGACCGACGGCGGAGCTATGACGACGATGATGATGATGACAAGGCCATAGAGACATATATGCCAACAACTATCACTTCAAGCTTGGAAGTCATATATACGCACATATATATATATATATATATTACATATCAATAGTCAAGGTAAATGAACGAGTAACATTGGATATACTATTCAGTAAATCAATTTTGATCATTCTATACATAATATGTGGGTTGACAGTTCTTCTTCCCTTTCTTTTCTTTTTCTCTTTTCCCTTATATGCATTTAGACGATATCTTGTTTTTGGCATAGAGACCTATTCATTTGATTTGTTTAGGAAGAAGATAAAGACACATGCCACGAAACCATAAAACGTCCTCATCAAATGGTCATACAAATGCAACAACGAAAAAAGTAAAAGACAAACCTACATACAAAATTATTGTATTAGGTAGTGGAGGAGTTGGCAAAGTAAGATTTACTTTTTTTTTCTTGATTATACACGCTTTAGATTCATAGTATATGATAATACTCTTGATTACTTAAGAAAAAAAAAAAAGATTAAGTTACCTCTCAAGATTTGTATAATCGATCAATTTATATTTCTTTTTTTCCTATTCATTATATATCAAAATCAAATAATATAGATAATATTCTAAAGAATACTGAAATTTAATCTTAAGTTAGAGAATCTGTATTAAAATATTGACAGAGATATAATGTTGTTAATGATATTGCCATTGATTTCTTAATCATGCTGTGTTCATAAGATTATCAGCTATCTTTTACTTAACATAAATGAAGCTTTTCTAAATATAATCATTGAAAGTAATAATACACAACTGTCAATCAACTTCTATCTTAGTTAGACAATTCTCGTTAATAAGATTTGATATTAATTGTATATTTATAACTGTCTATTTTTTTTTCTTCTAGTCAGCAATAACAATACAATTTGTAAAATCATTTTTTTTCTCTGATTATGATCCAACAATTGAAGATTCATATGTAAAACAATGTTTAATTGATAATCAAATAGCACAATTAGAAATTCTTGATTCAGCTGGACAAGAAGAATTTAAACCTATGCGTGATCAATATGTACGTGTTGGTGAAGGTTTTTTACTTGTTTTTTCTTTAACGGATCGTCGTTCATTGGATGAATGTTATAAATTACATCGTGATATATTACGTATTAAAGATACAGATAATGTACCAATGTTATTAATTGGAAATAAATTAGATGTACGTCAAATTGGTATGGATGTTCATGCACATGCTGCAGCTGCTTCTATGCATATACCCTATTTTGAAACATCAGCTCGAACACGTCATAATATTGATGAAATATTTATTGAACTTGTACGACTAATAAGAAAAAATAAATGTCAATATCAAACAAATAATAATATATTATTATCAAAACAAAAAAAACGAGAAAATAATCGTCATTATTATTCTTGTACGATTTTGTAGTCATTTTTTCTTTTGTTATATATATATATATATATACATATATACGAAAATGTTTTTATTATTAGTATTATTATTATATTTCTGTTTTGTTTTGTCAGATTTTATATATTTGGGAGTTTAGATACTGACATTTTCTGTTCTTTGTTTTTTCTTTTTATTGACAATCTATTTCTTCTTCTTCTTTTTTCTTTTCATTGTTGTTTTCTGATTTATTTACAATAATAATGATAATAGATTTTTAGATTTATTAAAATAAATGAATTAACATTTTTTTTTGTTCTCTGATAAAAATAAAAATATTTATATTTAATTATTTACATAAAGGAATATCAGTAAAAACTCGTTTAAAATATTTAGAATCTTATTGTTGATTTCAATAGAGAAATTTTACGAATAGTAAAAATTATTTGCATACTTGTTGTATTAATACCTTCATTCTTATGTGAATCCTTTTTTTTTTTTTTTTTTCTTAAATTAATTTATTCGATTACAATATGATTTGTTTTATTCTAGAATAAAAGAATGAAAGTTAGTCGTCGTAGTCAACGAGTGACTAAAGTTATAACTGAAACAATATCAAAAAAACTTCAAACTAAAAAAATTAAAACAAAATCTATTAAAATTGAAAAACAAGAACTTATTATAAATTCCAATGAAGAAAATCTTTCTATTTTACGAAATGCTGCTAAACTTGTTCATTTAACTGGCATGAAAATTGGTTATCCATGTTTATGTACAAGTCTTTGTACACCAAGTCATACATTTCGTTTAGCTAATTATACAAATGAAAAATTTCTTGAAATAACAAATCAAAATTTAATATGTTTACAAAAAATTCTTGAATATAATATTCAATATGGTTTTTATTTTTTTCGTATTTCATCACAAACAGTTCCATTTGCTAGTCATTCTATATGTAAAATTGATTGGGCAAAATATTTTTCATCAACATTACGTCAAATAGGTCAATATATAAAAGATCATGATTTTCGTATAAGTATGCATCCCGATCAATTTTGTTTAATTAATGCTAAAGATGGAAATATTATTAATAGAAGTATTGCTGAACTTAATTATCATTGTCGATTATTGGATGAAATGAATTTAGATTCAAATGCAAAAATACAAATTCATGTTGGTGGTTTGTATGGTGATAAAATGGTTAGATATTTTGAATTAAAAGAAAACGAATGAATATATAAAAACTATTTTAATAGTCTTTTTTTTTTTTTTTGTAGGCATCAATGGATCGATTTATTGAACAATATAAAACTAAATTAAGTGATTCTGTTCGTCGACGTCTTGTTATTGAAAATGATGATCGATTATTTTCAGTTAAAGATTGCCTTTATATTCATGAACATACACGTATACCAATATTATTTGATAATCTTCATCATGCTTGTTTAAATAATGGTGAAACAATGATTGAAGCTATGAAACAATGTTTTGCTACATGGCCTTATGGTCAACGTCCAATGATTGATTATGCTACACAACAAAAAGGAAAACGTTTAGGTGCTCATGCTGATCATATTGATGAAAAACATTTTGAATTATTTATAAGAGAAACATGTGATCTTCAATTTGATATTATGTTAGAAATTAAAGATAAAGAACAAAGTGCTATTATAGCAGTACCTTATGCTGCTCGGGAACGTGTTCATGATCAAACAATTAATATAGATCCTGCAAATTATCGTTATATTTATGAAAATACACAACGTTTACAAGATGAAATCAATGAACGTAAACGAAAACGTGCAGAAAAAAAACAATTAAACAAAGCAACGGATGAAGATGATGACGATGATGATGATGATGAAGATTATAAAGCAAAACATTAAACAAAAACTACATGATATTATATATCAATCAAGCTATTTTTGTTTTTTTGTAAATATTTATAGACTTTCGTGTATCAATGTATTCTTTTATTATTACAATGCAAACAATAAAAAAAAACATGAAATTGCAAGGAATATTTTATCGAGATTTTTTCTTCCGGAAGGGTGATATAAAACTTCGAGAGGGCGAATATCTATTTTTAGAAGTACAGATACATCGTACATATTTGAATAACCACAAACTCCGGAAGGATCAATGCAATGTTTTGAGAAGAGTCAGCATCTCGACCTTCATACTTAATAAAACACTAGATGCAAGATATAATTTGGTCAAGACTATAATATTTCATAGATGTATTATTCATATTTTTGCTTTGATAAATAATAAAAATTATTGATACTATTTTATAGATTCCATTAAAGACGTCAGAGAGTATGAACTAAAGATAAACTGATTCTATTGATTTAACTAAATAAAAAAACACGTTTCCTGTATTTATTCCTATTATATCGGGTCACAATGCCAATTAAATTCTGATTTGTTATCATAAAAATAACATACGAAGTAAAAAAAAAATAGTGACAGATAGATTTGTATGGAACTGCATTTATGAACTAGTTAGAAAGTCAGAACATTATGAATATTCTATTCATTTATGTCTTTTGAGACTTATTGTAATAGTGATCATTAGCTTTTCTATGTCATACTCTTTCATCTTATAGTGCTGTCTAAAAATTCATTGATTTGACCTTTTCTTCTCCTTTTTCTTTTCTCTTTTACTATTTCTACAATTAATGAATACTAGGACTTCTTTTTCCTTATTACAGGTGTAGTTTACCATTCGATTGCAATACTTGTCGTTCTTCTTTTTTTTTTTTTTGTTTTTCTTTTCTCATTAATGTTCAAGCAATTTTCTTCAATCGTATCTAATTTGCATTTCGTGTCTTCTTTTTTTACCAATGCCAATCACCATTATTTGATGTGAAAGTTAGCCCTTATGAGTATGTGAGCATATGTTGATGGCGTGTCAAGCTCTTCTATCAGGATGTTACCTCCCGGGCTTGCATATTTAAGAAAATTGACAATGTGTATCTATATACGAAAGCTGTAGAGAAAGAAGACAATCTACCTGATTTATTGATGTTGAAATGATCTAGGTACTACTAGTAACAGTTTTTTTCCTTTTCTTCTCTTTTCTTTTTTTTTTTCCATACATTAACATTGAGCATTCATTAAAGTATGGACGAGCGAAGCGAACAAGGAAGAAGAAGGGAGGAGCAGACACACACATACACATATAAAGCTGATCATAAATCAGGTGCATACTCTCTCAATAAGTTGCCCCCAAGGAAGGAGAAAGACGATGACGGGTTTGAAAAGAATTATTATGATCTTGACGAGAGAATTGATTAGATCAATAAGGTAAGATCGTCATTGTCGTTTTACTTTTACCTTGAGCACACCAATGCATACATAATATACTTGTATAAAAGAAGAGAAAAAGAAAATGGCAATATAGTTTTATTGTATGTATCGATCTTTTTTTTTCAATCTATATTTCGTAGTTTGATCGTTCTGTGATCGATTCTGATTTTTTTTATCGAAATAGAAAGCAAAAAAAAAAAAGAAAAAAGAAAGGCTTAATTTCGACAGAATTGATTGAAAAATTGAAGTCGTACCGAATATAAATATATTTGCAAGTATTCGTACTATCGCCAGCACTTTCCCTTCTATTACTTGTTTCTTTCTGTTTCTTTGTCGACGTGTTGTAGGTCGAGTTGGCTGGCAATCGATCATAAACAACCATTTCCAATAAAGTCGTCATTGTATATGTATGTGTGAGCACATACTTGCGCGATCACTCGTCAAGCCGTGACTTTACCGTCGAGTCGATAACAATATGATCGGAACAAACATTCGAAGCACAAAAAAAAGCAGGATAAAAAAAAAGAACGTGAGAGTGACAGAGAAATTTTACTACCACCGTTTATCAGTTTGCCCATTTGCTCCCTTGCTCGTACACAGACAAAGACAAGTAAAACAATCACAACCATATATATATATATATATATTGGCAAATGCAGGTGAACACATACATACATTTTAAATTGAAAGTTATGCTCTAAGACGAGTTATTGAATTTATGCAATATACGTATATATCTATATACTTTCACTTTGGAGATTTATATAATCTCATACTCTCAATAGATGGGTTATAGGTACTTGATAAATTTAAAAATTTTAGATGAAGAATGACAACAACAAATAAAAACATCGAATCAATAGTTAAACAATGGACTTCATTTGATTTGAAATCAATTCAGGTAAAGTGTTCTCTCCCTATCTATCTATACAATTCATGTCTTTTTCTTTGTTTGTTGACATGACACATCAAACTATTATCTTTACCTTTCTTCTTTCTTATTCTTCTTTTTCTTCTTTATTTGTTAAGTGTTTCTCTATCTATCTTTTCGAGTTAGATTTCTTGATCAATTCAGTAGAGAAAAAAAAAGAAAATGAATTAAGTGATCAAAACTGTTGTGTAATAAAAAAGTTTAACAAAGCTTTAAATATATCTATCAACATAAAAGTTTAATACAAGTATATGTATGTATGTATGTATGTATGTATGTGTATTTATTTATTTATTTATTTATTTTTATTCTCGAAGAAATGTTGTATTTATGAGAATGACCTTTTTTTTTCGATTATGACACTTTTACTTATCGTATTGATCAGTACCACAATGATTACTAAACAACTAACATGTCCACCTTATTCATTTGTGTGTGAAAGAAGAAGAGGTTGTCGACCTTCTCTTTTCTTTTCTTTTTTTCTTCTTCTTCTCTTTCTCTTTTAGAGTTCGAGAACTACTAATCATGTAATCGTCACCGTTGACGCTCGCTCTCTAGTTATATGTCGCATAATGATAATAGATCGAGTCTTATGTATAGCGATCGCTCTTGAAGAATATTCTTTTTCTATGTCTTCGTCTGTTTTCCCTCTTCTTTGTTTTGTTGTTCTTCTATATTACTACTGTTCTCCTGTGATTAGGGTTCTTTCTTGCGCCTCCATCGCATCTCTCTCTCTCTTTCATACTACTACTTATTATGTTTGTCGATGATGATACAGATAGAGATATCGTCTTTTCGGTATCACGACAACGACAATTTCCGTTAATAGTTCTGTGTTGGTGTTTCAATCGATTCTGTAAGTGTATATATGTATATATTATGTATATATAGTGTGAACTATAAAAAATAAGAAATATACGTGATGGAATTTGAAAAACTAAGTTTAAGTGATTGATGTGTAGTTATAGAGTCTAGTTGATAGATATATATATGTGCAGTTATGCTTTAAGTAACGAAAGAAACAAAAAAAAAAAAAGAAAAGAAAGGAGAAATTCCAATGATGATTGCTTTTTACGGGAGAAATATTGCCCATCTCTCTTATCCATAGTTATAAACATGTGATAAATAACCTGAATGAATGAATGAGTGAATGAATGAATGATCGACATCAGTAAATGAATACGTATATATGTTGGTATGTATTTCAATGTAAAACTAAAAGAAAAACAGAAAGACGAAGAAATCGCATCTCGTATATATTGTATATGTATGTTTGTCTGCGATGATTGATCTTAGAAGTATATAGTTGATGTGTGGTGAAACTTGGCGCCATGTTTATTGGTACATCCCACGAAGCACTTCGTACTTGGATATTGACACACACCATACAAGAGAAGATAAGAAGAACTGTAACTGAGACGAATATCTGTTTCCAGCTCTCTCTCTCCTTCTATGCTTGTTCGTTTATCGACCTAAAAGAAATACAGAAATGCGACATTGACTTGAGTAGCAGCACCACAAGACGTCGCTGATTTCCTCCTTGAGAAGAGATGCCGTGTCTAATCTATATCAATCAACTCTCCCTCTTTTTTCCCCGAAAGACTCGACGAAGTAAACCTAATCTCGAATTGACAACATCCAGCTTTGTTATTCCGCTTTTCTCTTTTTCTTCATTGTAACATGTATATATACATATACATATATATATGTGTGTATGTTTAAAAAAGAGATATTGTCAACAACAAACAACTAATGATCCATGATCGTTAATTATGATCGCTTTCTACTAGTGACGACAGACAACTTTGTCTGTATATATATATATATATATAGATAGATAGATAGATATATGTGCGCATCATATGTACAGTTGTATCAATAAACGAAACGAACGAGGAATTGTCAGTGAACATAATGTCAAAAAAAAAGAAGAAATAAAAAGAGAAAGCAATAAAACAAATCACTTTTGGGGCCGACTGAGAAACAATCGATTAATTGTGGACGATGACACGACACGACATACATATTGGTGCAAGATGGTACCCACGTGCATTGTCTATATATATATTATGTGTGTGTACATGAGATGAATTACGATTTCTCTCTCTTTTTTTTTCTTTTTAATATTTGTTTCGTTTATTATCAAATATCAATTTGATATAGAATGATTGAAAATATATTTATCAATATAAATCAATGAATGTAAATATTAAATAGAATAATATTATTTTCTTCTTCTTTTCTTGTCTTTCTAGCATGATTTAGACGTGACAACAACTGAAATAGTCAGTTGTGCTGATGAAAGTGATCAATCAAGAAGAAAATTGGTTGAATTAAGTCGAGATTTTAAGAAAAATACGAATGAGGTAGGTGGATCCTCTTATTTCTTCTTTACTATATCTTCTATTTTAATTGATCATTAAATAGACAAAAAAATAATAAGAAAGACAGGTACTCGTGATCATCAGTCGTGTATAAGTGTGTGTGTGTGCGAACGCACATAGTTTTCTTTTTTTTTTTTGCATCTATTGTCTCTTTTTTTCTTTATTTTTATTTTACACTACATACAAAACGAACGTGATCATCTATAAGACAGACTGATCGTTCGAGAAACTCTCATCATCATCATCATCATCATAATCA